TAAATAATTTACAGAACTTTTTTTTAAATGTTCGTCTTATTTGAAGCAGAGAGGAGCACCGAGCGAACTCTTCCTGCTGGCATTAATCATATTAATCATCAAGTGCCAAAAAGTAATCGATTAATGTTTTTCTGACGATTAATTGCAAACGATACGATTATGCCCAACCCTACTTGTGTTCTGATAATTTTAGCTTATATTAGACAGTTTCAGCTTGTGTTCTGATAATTTTAGCTTATATTAGACAGTTTCAGCTTGTGTTCTGATATTTTAAGCTTGTGTTATTTACATTTTAGCTGTTTTCTGATCATTTAGCATGTGTTCTTATTGTTTCAGCTTATTTCAGTGAAGTCATTCAACACCCAGCATTCATACAAAATTTTTCAAGAATTTTTATTTTCTTGCAAAAATGAGAAATCTTAAGACCTGTAATATGTTAAATCATGAGGACAAAAATCTATTACATCTGAAAGACTGATAATAAAAAGAAGATAAATGTTTAACTCTTCACCAGATTTATTCTAGATAATTTGATGTCAGTGTCAGATGATATTTTTCTTTTCCTGTGCGTTTTATCTTTTCTGATGACTCGTGTTTTTCAGTCAGATGTTTGATTGTCCTGACGTCACATTAGTGAATCGGTAACAATGACTCAGAATAATGTGGTTAAGAAAAACATGAAGTTACCGTTGTGTGACATCCCCACAGACAGACACTTCTGAAACCTGCAGAACTGACACTTGTTCCGGTTCTTCTTTTGGATTTTGCAGCTGCGCTCACACTTGACGTAGTCCAGCTTTARCCTGAGGGTTCTCCTGAAGAAACCCTGAATAAAACACAGGGAGAGAATCTTTTTTAATACGTTCTTTTATATTTTCAACCCGCCGTTTTGGGGGAAGGTCCCTGATTGGACGAGGCGCTGCAGCCCCCTCCCATCGCTCGCTCCGGGCCCGGCGCCAACACAAGCTAACAGATGTCAGACGCACGCCAAAACATACAACGCTCCAACGCACGCTCGACCAAACACCAGCCGATAGCGTTCTTCCCCCTCCTCGCTGTCGAGTGGAGAGAAACTGTAAATTTCTGGCAGTAAATCCAGAGCCTTGCTCTTGCGCAACGTCTCGGCTGCGATGATGTGGATGAGCAGCTGCGGCACGTTGCTATTAAAGGTTATTACGTGTCACATATCATGTTTTTGTGTCATTTGTTTGAACAGAAACATGTGGTTTTGTGGTGAAAATCACATAGCTCACCATATGACAGTCATCAGACATGTGGGGACTAAACCAGAGCAGTGCAGATATTTTACTGCATGTCTGGGGTAAATAATCAGAGCAGATGTGAGTAAAAAATGTCCAACATGGTGTGTGCGGTTTACATTCTCTGCAGAGTTTCTTTGATTAGAGCTCTTTGCTTTATCGTCATCACAGGCAAAGCTGAGTGCCCCTCTTTTTAAAACTCAGGTGCTAAAAACGATCCCGGTGTTRCACCATATTTTGTGACCGTCATATATTGTGACCAGAGAGGGCGCTGTTGCGTTTCTACAACAGAATTTAGCCGAAATTAGCCACAAAGAATACGAGACGCCAAAAGGTCACAAAATATGATTGTCATATATTGTGACTTCACTTTAGCTTGGTAAATAATAAAAATATTTATTCATAAACTGATTCTACTCGTATACATCCTCTAATGTCAGAAAAATAACTTCTGATCACTAGCATGTTGACTATCACTACTACTATTATTCCTACTATACGTGATAATAGTTATCATATTATGTGACCCTGTACTAATTTAATAACAGTCACCATGTCAGTGATCAAAAGTTATTTTTCTGACACAAGAGGATGTAAACAATTAGTATAAATAGTTTTTAAATAAAAAWTTTTACTATTTCCTTAGCTACAGTGAAGTCACAATATATGACAGCTGTCATTTTCTGTGACCATGTATAATAACAAYAGTCAACASTTTTTGTTTTTTTCTTCATATATCTTTAGCCTCTGGCTACACTGTTGGCGTATCATATTCTTCTTTGTGGCCACKTTCGGCCAAGTTCTGTTGTAGAAACGCAACAGCGCCCCCTCTGGTCACAATATATGATGGTCACAAAATATGGTGTAACACCGTTCTTTCCACGATGGTGCGATATCAGCCGGAGAATTTGGGAGTGAAGCGAAGTCGCTCGGCTCCAGCAGCGCGACGAGATGAGCAGCTGTTCCGACGGGCGACGCGGGCGAAACCGCAAAACACACGTTCACGTCAAACGCCGGCCGTGACGAGCAGCGAAGCGTCTCAGGTGGAGGAGGTGAAGCATCCGTCGCCGAGGAGACGCCCTGTCGCCGCCACGGCCCGACTGCAGCAGTGTTCTGCTAACCTGTTAATAGCTGAACTAGCTTCTCATTTAGCGCATTGCATTTTCCACTAAATTAGGTTCTAATTCTAATCCCACTTAAAACTTCCAGAGTGTAAAACTTGTTTTTATGCAGTTCATCCCAAATTAAATAAAAACTATCGTGCTGGCGCCGTGCGTGTAGCATCTACAGCAGCTAAACTTCAAAATAAAAGCGTCAAAAAGAAACTAAATAATTAATAATTTAAATATAAAATAGACTACATATAAAATATGGTAGAGAAATAATCTGTAGTTTGACTTAAAAATCAATAAAATGCTTTTATACTGAAAGGGGTAAACTGGAAGTATCACGAGTTAGACAGAGCTATCCCTCTGGTTTGATGGGCCGATTTGCCACAGATGATCCGGCTCATCTTCAGATTAAACCAATAATAGTCTTCAACTGGAAGGACATGGACACTGACAGCTGTCTTAGCAGTTTAGCATTAGCTAAAATTTCTTGTTTAGCAAATCAGTGGTTAGCGAAGCTAACTTTTTGGTTAGCTGTACCCAACTAATGAACGTTTTTTTATAAAATTAAAACAATCCACTTTCCAATCTGATCAGAACTGAACTCTTCAATCTGAGTTTGTTCAGAGCTACYGTATCTACRACAGGTAAGATGTTGATTGTTCCCCACTTTAAAAGATCTTTACTACCTCTCTAAAAAGGTACACATTGAGCTACTGTGGTRTTACTGATGAAGATAAACTCGAATATTTAACGGGTAGAAGCAGCAACTGGTGGTTAATTTAAAATTCTACCACAGGGTTATTCAACTGGTGGTCCGGGGGCAACATTGGGCCCACAGGTGAGCTCAATCCAGCCCACCGATGGTTTTAAATTAAAATTAGATTTTAAATCAAAAATTAAACTTATGTAATGACAATAATTGCAAGTTTTCTGGTGATAATCCTCGGAGGGTTTTAGCCATCAAATCCTAACGATCACAGTTCCTCAGAGCTTGTCGGAGTTAACCCACAAATATTTTAGTTATCCCTGAATTGTAAAGAATGTGTGGCACCTCCAGCTTTAGCCTGATCGGAGTGTTTTACAACTCTGCAAACGACAAATTCCCCATTAAATCTCAAGTGACACGGCGATATTTAGTGTAAGCAGCTTTGCGCTCTGTGTCAGCTGCGTGTAAAAAAGAAAAATAAAGAAGGCAAAAGGCCATCACATCATCCRCCTCACATGATCTGGCTGCCAGAAACTTTCCACTGGCCTGCAGGTCAAGCACCCTCACACGACGGGACAGGCGTGTGTCTGGGTGTTGTGTGCTTTCAGACTTGTTTGTGCGTCTGTACGAGACGTATGTTTGCGTCATGTCCCCCCCCCCGCTCTTTGGTAAAGTCGGTCGAGTAAACGCAGAGACACTGAAATTAATCGTCGCTACATAAACGTCCCACGTGTCTCACCTTGCAGCCCTCACACGCGTGCACTCCGTAATGGAAGCCCGAAGCTTTGTCGGAGCACACCCGGCACTCGAGGTTGAGGGGGCTCGAGTTCTCGTCTGGGCCGAACGCTGCTCCGCAAACCCCCGACAGAGGACTGGAGGCCGGGGTCAACGTGTCTGCAGCAGACAGAAGAAACAAGACAGGAAGTAAACCGCGAGTCCTCCTGTCTGATCAAGAATTAACCCAAAACCAGAGAACCGAACAAACATTTCTTTGGTCTTTTTTTTAATAAAGTGTTTTCCTACACAACTTTAAAGGGGACCTATTATGCAAAATTCACTTTTTAAAGGTTTTTTTTACTCAACTTTGGGTATGTACTTCTTAAAAAAACAGTCCTAGGACCAAAACAATGCACCCAGGGGCATATTTACTGTAAGTAAATGTATTTTTAATGTATATTAACAACAAGTTTTATACTTCAGTCATTTTGTGATGTCACAAGCCGTACGACAACCCACCAGAACCTGCGTTCAGCCCCTTATCTAGCAACCCCCAGATGAGAATCCTCCTCCTCAGTATAAAAACCCGTCACTGTGTTGTTGTGTAATGTGTAGCTCTGTTCACAACAAGCCTCCAACAGGGCAATGGGTAGAG